CCTGCCCCCTGGGGATTTGGCAGGTTGTGCCACCTTACCCTGCTACAGGACACCTCTGTACCTGCCACTGTTGGCCTTGTCCTTGGCCTCTTTCTGCTTCTTATAGGAGGAAGACTCTTCTCCATCTGCATCTTCCACCTTCTCCTTTTTGATTGTAGATGGTAAGAGATGCATCATTCTGCCCTGGAAGGAGGGAAGGAAGGAAGAGGTCCAGCAGCTCTGAAATAACCCACACGAGCTCATTAACTAAGCACTGGAGGAAATTTTCTGGCACCTCTCCTATTCAAGCAGCCTAGGGGGAAGGAGGGAACCTTCATTCCCAAAGGAGACACCACTGCAAGTCAGAGTAGTCACACAATATGAGACACACTCAGATCTCCTTCTCCACCTCAGCTGTTGGCACGTGGGAGCCTGTTCCAACCAAGGCTGCTCTACCAAAACCAACTGTGTTCTCACAGTGCAAAGCAGCAGAGACTCCAACCTTGCCAGCAGACCACAGAACCCAACACTTGGCCACGTTCCCCACAAACAATCCCCCAGGAAAATCACCATACCTGGAACACCTGCCCATCCATTTCTGCATAGGCCTTCACAGCATGCTCAGGGATCATGTAGGTGATGAAAGCAAATCCTTTGGGTTTCTTGGTCAGTCTGTCCACAGGGAAATGGATCTCAGAGAGGGGTCCTGCAAAAGGCAAGGTTTTTCCATCAGAGATGGAGCCAACACCTGCTCTGAAGCATGTGGAAGCTCAGGGGGCTTTGACACATGACACAAAGCTCTGAGTAGGTGCATGGAGCACTGTGTCCAGTTCTGTCCAGCTTTGGGGCCTCCAACATAAGGACATGGAGTTCTTGGAGAGAGTCCAGAGGAGGCCACAAAGATGATCAGAGGGCTGGAGCAGCTCTGCTCTGCACACAGGCTGGGAGAGTTGGGGTGTTCAGCCTGGAGAAGAGAAGGCTCCAGGGAGACCTTAGAGCAGCTTCCAGTACCTGAAGGGGCTCCAGGAAAGCTGGGGAGGGACTTGGACAAGGGCAGGGAGGGATGGGATGAGGGGAAATGGATTAAAACTGGAAGAGGGGAGATTTAGGTGAGACATTAGGAAGAAGTTCTTCACAATGCAGGTGAGGAAGCACTGGAACAGGCTGCCCAGGGAGGTGGTGGAAGCTCCACGCCTGGAGACATTCAAGGTCAGGTTTGATGAGGCTCTGAGCAACCTGATCTAGTTCAAAAGGTCCCTGGACACTGCAGGGGTTGGACTAGAGGACCCTGAAAGGCCTCTTCCCATTCTCTGATTCCATGCTTCCATGCAGCTTCAGGGATGCAAGGGGAGGGATAAGGGCACAGCACAGAGCCAGCCCCACAAAGCCCAGCAGAGATGATCGCAGTCAGCCCACAGCAGAGGGGTGGGACACACAGCTTCCTTCACTCCCATCCAGCAGGAAAACCTCTGTGTGCACAAAGCAAAGAGGCAGCCCTGCAACTCCCTCAGCAAACACTTACCATACTTGGAAAAGATCTTCTCCAAGTCTTCCTCAGTACTGGTAAAGGGAAGATTCCTCACAAAGAGTCTCCCCGATTCAGACAGATCCTCTTCTTCCTCATCATCCCTCTTCCTTCTCTGCCATGGCTGGGGAGCAGGTTTTGGTGCAGCAGCTTCTTTTGGGCCATTCCTACATGGCAGCACCTCAATGCATCTCCCACCTAAACCACAAACCCAAAGCTCATGAGCTGTTCCCAGAGCCCCCAGGAAACCACCATCTCTGGAAAAGAGCCTGGGCTTGGGGCACTGACACAAGTAACTACAATTCCACAAGCTTGGGGTAGAACTCTGCCTGATTTAATAAAAAAGAGGGGTGAGGGCTGTAAGAGATTTTCCATAAGAAGCAGGATATCACTTGCTAGGCAGCTCCACAGCCTCCCTCCCTGTCAGGAGCTGCAGCCTTTCTGCCTCTGTCACCCCAGCCCACAGGATTCCAAGCAGATATTCCTCTTCTGCACAGGATTTTTGCAAATAGAATTTGAGCAGTTCCACTAAGGGATCAGTCATTGCACCTTCCAGTGCCTGAAGGGGCTCCAGGAAAGCTGGGGAGGGACTTGGGACAAGGGCAGGAGGGAGAGGACAAGGGGGAAGGGATTAAAACTGGAGGAGGGGATATTTGGATTAGACATGAGGAGGAAATTCTTTGGTGTGAGGGTGGTGAGAGCCTGGCCCAGGTTGCCAAGGAAGCTGTGGCTGCCCCATCCCTGGCAGTGTTGAAGGGCAGGCTGGATGGGGCTTGGAGCAGCCTGGGCTGGTGGGAGGTGTCCCTGCCCATGCAGGGGGTTGGGACTGAATGATCTTCAAGGTTCCTTCCAAACCAACCCATTCCATGATTGTATGAAATCCCCTGCACTACCCCAGACAGATTTAACCAGCACCATTTTTATACCAAGAGCAAGATAAACTCCAGGCACGTGACAAAACCAAGGGCAAAAAACCACACCCAGCTCAGTCCCTTGCCAACTCTCTGCTGCTCCTCACAAAGCACCTGGTTTATCCCACGTCAGCTGAAAGAAGCAAACCACCCCCATCACCATCTGCCTGGGAAGAGCTAAAACAACAGGAGATACTTCCACAGGGAACACTTGAGCAGCTGAGCTCCCTGCCCTGCACAGCAGCCAGAACAAGCAGGAACACACAGCCCTTACCTAAGTACTCTTTTTTTCTTTTCAAGGCCCTCTGCATTTCTGCTTCACTCTTCAAGTCAACAAAGACACAACCTTGGAGGGAGGAAAGGTTCAACTGAGCAACATGTGGTGAACAAACAAGCACTAATTGGCTAATTCAGGGTGAACTGGACTTTCTTTAATATGGATTCCTACAGATAAAGCATTCTGCTCTCATTCAAGTTTTGCTCCAGCCTGGAAATGGCTGTGTCAGGCTGGGAAGCTGCCTTTTAAAAGCTCATTCTCTCCAAGCAAAGCTAACAGCTGAAGGAGGTTTCCACAAGTGCCTCCAGGAGCAAACAAAAGCTGCATCTGCTGTTAGGCTGTGAGAGGAAAACAGCTCTGAGGACCTGCCTCACACCCTTCCTGATGGGGAGCTGCAGCAGCCCCAGCCTGTCAGGAGGCCCACCTGGGAGGTCAGCAAGGTCCCTGGGTGTTGCTGCAGCCACCCCAGAGGGAGACACCTTCCCTTGGCATGGTTCGGGATGTTCAGGGAAGTTCTGGAGGCAGATCAAAGAACTGGGTCCTGCTGCTGCTCTGGAGGGAGCACAGCCAACATTCCTGTGCCCACGGCATCCTATGGACAGCAACTAGGGCAGGGGAGCTGCAAAGTCACAGCAAGGGCTGTAGGAATCAGGACAGGGATTTGGAATTGCAGATGACAGGAGCAGAGGTGTGACTGAGAGGTCCTCTTCACTTCCAGATCCATACACACACATTACCTGCTTTCTTTCCCTGGGTGCTTTTTCCTATCCTGATGGCCACTGGCTTCAGGGGCAGGAAGAATTCCCGAATCCTTTGCTGCAGGAAGGATTGTAATTGCTTAAATAAGTCCTCAGATATAAGAAGCAGGAGGTTTCCACCTGAAGGGGTTTTAATATACAGGAGAAAGACACATCTCTGCACAAAGCTAGTGCAAACGTTGCCCATGCAACCCTCCAAACAGTGAAAACAGAAGCCTCTGGAAAGTTGTGTCAAGTTTCCCACTGAAAAAACCCTTCAGGCTGCAGCCCCAGCTGGGAAGCAAAGCTCTCACCTCTGTTATGTTCAAGGGGGCACCACGAAGCTTCACTGTGTATGGTGTGCTGGCTTCTGCTGAGCTGCCTTGGTTCTACACAGGGTGGGAAAGGAAAGAAAGAAGTCGAGTGAAAAGCAGCAAATGTCACAGGCCTGCAAACTGGTCTTGCCCAGCCAGGAGGGTGAAGAGTGGGAGAGAATCATGGAATGGTTTGGGTTGGAAGAGACCTTCAAGATTGCCCAGTTCCACCCCCTTGCATGGGCAGGGACACCTCCCACCAGCCCAGGTTGCTCCAAGCCCCATCCAACCTGCCCTTCAACACTGCCAGGGATGGGGCAGCCACAGCTTCCCTGGGCAACCTGGGCCAGGCTCTCACCACCCTCACACCAAAGAATTTCTACCTAAGAACATCAAGAGGTTGTTGCAGCTGGGCAGGAGGTGGCAATGAGGGGGCAAGGTTTGGCTAAGACAGCCAAACGCAGTCCCTACAAGCTGAGTCCTGCAGGACAGCATTTTCTGCAGACACAGGAAAAGACAGAAGCCCCTGCAAAGGGCACCAGCAGCACTTGTTTGGAACAGCTGCCATCTCCCTCAGACCAGAGAGCTGGTATCAAGGGGGTCCTGCAGAATTCCAAGCTTTCAGCTCTCCCCTGGAGAGACTGACAGACCTCCAATGCCATCAAGCTCCTGCTTTAGATAAGAAAAAGTCTAACTCAGCTGTACCTTTGGTGGGGATCCTTTTTTCTTCTTCTCCCCTGCTGTCTCCTGCTGTTTCTGCTGGGCTTTTGGCTTCCCCTTTTTATCCATAGTTTCTGTAATGCCTGAATCCTCCTCACTCTCACTTTCCTCTTCCACCCCCTCACTATCTGATTCTTCCTCTGTGCTGGATGAGGAGGAAGAATCCTTCACCACTTTAGATTTCAGGTAATCCATATCTGAGAGGTCTTTGCTGGTAGCTGCCTTCTTCCCTCCTTTCTTGCCTGTCAGGAGACGTTGCCCATGCAACCCTCCAAACAGTGAAAACAGAAGCCTCTGGAAAGTTGTGTCAAGTTTCCCACTGAAAAAACCCTTCAGGCTGCAGCCCCAGCTGGGAAGCAAAGCTCTCACCTCTGTTATGTTCAAGGGGGCACCACGAAGCTTCACTGTGTATGGTGTGCTGGCTTCTGCTGAGCTGCCTTGGTTCTACACAGGGTGGGAAAGGAAAGAAAGAAGTCGAGTGAAAAGCAGCAAATGTCACAGGCCTGCAAACTGGTCTTGCCCAGCCAGGAGGGTGAAGAGTGGGAGAGAATCATGGAATGGTTTGGGTTGGAAGAGACCTTCAAGATTGCCCAGTTCCACCCCCTTGCATGGGCAGGGACACCTCCCACCAGCCCAGGTTGCTCCAAGCCCCATCCAACCTGCCCTTCAACACTGCCAGGGATGGGGCAGCCACAGCTTCCCTGGGCAACCTGGGCCAGGCTCTCACCACCCTCACACCAAAGAATTTCTACCTAAGAACATCAAGAGGTTGTTGCAGCTGGGCAGGAGGTGGCAATGAGGGGGCAAGGTTTGGCTAAGACAGCCAAACGCAGTCCCTACAAGCTGAGTCCTGCAGGACAGCATTTTCTGCAGACACAGGAAAAGACAGAAGCCCCTGCAAAGGGCACCAGCAGCACTTGTTTGGAACAGCTGCCATCTCCCTCAGACCAGAGAGCTGGTATCAAGGGGGTCCTGCAGAATTCCAAGCTTTCAGCTCTCCCCTGGAGAGACTGACAGACCTCCAATGCCATCAAGCTCCTGCTTTAGATAAGAAAAAGTCTAACTCAGCTGTACCTTTGGTGGGGATCCTTTTTTCTTCTTCTCCCCTGCTGTCTCCTGCTGTTTCTGCTGGGCTTTTGGCTTCCCCTTTTTATCCATAGTTTCTGTAATGCCTGAATCCTCCTCACTCTCACTTTCCTCTTCCACCCCCTCACTATCTGATTCTTCCTCTGTGCTGGATGAGGAGGAAGAATCCTTCACCACTTTAGATTTCAGGTAATCCATATCTGAGAGGTCTTTGCTGGTAGCTGCCTTCTTCCCTCCTTTCTTGCCTGTCAGGAGAGACCAGAGAAGGTTTTGCACACAAATGCTGCTGCTCTCTCCTCAGCCAAGTCAAAACTGGGAACAGACACAAACACAAGAACCATCTTCCCCTCCTCTACCCTTGTTATGGGGAGGAAAAGCTTGGGACTAGCAGAGCAATTTTATCTCAGCACCTTCAGACTGACAGTCTGGATTCCTATTTTTAAACATTTTTTTAAGCAACAATAAAGGTCTAAAACAAGTTACAAAGGAGCTTGGAGAACTCTATGGCAAAGTATTTTGTCTCCACTCTACCTGAATGTTTCACACAACCTAGAGGAGCTTTTCAATTGCTCAGTTTAGTTTTGCAGGGTAAAAGGACAGAAGAAAATGTTTCTCCAGAACACTCCTCCCCACCAAGGATCAACTGATCAGTTTCCCAAGGAGAGGGGAAATGCCATTGACTCCAAAAGAACAGCACATGGAAATACCAGCCAGGAGGAGAGAGGCTCCCAAACCCCATTCCTCACTGGTGTAGGGACACTGGAGCCTGAGAGCCCAGATTTCAGTTATCTTCTACTCCACTAGACACAGTTTTCCTTGCAGGATCTAAGATACTGAACTCTGCCCATTCCCATCAACTCTGACAGGCCCCAAGGACACACCAACATTCCAGAAACATGCACCAAAGGCAGACAAGGCACCACCAGCTACTGGGTACTAAGTTATCAGAAACCACACCCAGCTCTGGAAAGCCTGGAGATGAACATGGCTGCAGACTAGGAAAGCATTTAAGGGAGACACAGAAGGTTTTGTCCTGTTACTCTTCCCCAGGCATTGACTTCAGGACCCATGGAAAGCACAAATGCCATCCCCTTAATACCAGGAGCTGCATTTCCCACATTTGGGAAAATATCCACACATCCAAGGGACACAGAATGAGTCTCATGCTTGAGAAAGCACCTTCTGGATTGCAACATCCCCACCTGGAGGCAGGATCCAGAGCTGGGTGCCATCAACTCTCCCACTCACTGAGAAAAGGGTGACAGTTCCTTTGGGTACCTTGAGCTTTCTCCTCATCCTCAGAAGGCTCATTTCCATCCTCCTCCTCCTCACTCAGCTCCTCAGACTCATCTGAATCAAAGTTGAGATAATCATCTGCTGCCTTGGATTTGCCCTTCTTGGGCTCCTCTGTCAAAGTGTCATTAGCCCAAGTGGCCACTTGGGACCGTTTCTGGTGAACCACCAAGAACTCCTGGAATGTTTCATCTTCTTCCAGCTGTTGGAAAGAAACAAAACAAGAAGCAGAGAAGCTGTGAAGGCAGGAGAGCTGGAAGCGAGTTTGGATGCAAAGATAACAGCTCATTTCCAGTAATCTTAAAAAGCCAAAACCATCCAAGACAGGAGTTCTCTTCATACTCACAAGGTGAGCACTTAAAAGTGACTAAAGTCTCCTCAAGATCTCTCAGTCCTTTCTTTTTTTTTGTGACTGATGTTTAGAGTAAAGAAGAAAAGAGCACATTTAAAAAGAAATTTAAAAAAATGTACAGATGAAATGTGACAAAACTCACACAGGGTTAAAAAGCAGGACTGTGGAATCAGTTCTGGATGCTGGGTGGGCTCATGGAGGAATATCAGACTGGTTCGGGTGGAAGGGGCCTTAAGGATCATGTAGATCCAACCCCCTGCATGGGCAGGGACACCTCCCACCAGCCCAGGCTGCTCCAAGCCCCATCCAACCTGCCCTTCAACACTGCCAGGGATGGGGCAGCCACAGCTTCCCTGGGCAACCTGGGCCAGGCTCTCACCACCCTCACAGCAAAGAATTTCCTCCTCATGTCTAATCCAAATCTCCCCTCCTCCAGTTTTAATCCATTTCCCCTTGTCCTCTCCCTCCTGCCCTTGTCCAAAGCCCCTTCCTAGCTTCCTGTTAAAAAAAAGGAGCCAGAATTCCAGTGTGAAAATTCCCATCTTCTGCTTTTATTTCAAAACCTGAAGTAACTCTGTCACATTTCAGCCAACACTAATTGTCAGGAGTAGCTGACAATTCAAAAAAACTGGTCCCCAAGGTTGAGATGGTTAAAATCCTGGTTTATTAGAGCACAACTAGGCTGTCAGGGAGCTGGTTAAATCATGCCCTTTGCCTCAGTTAACAGCACAAGAAGGAGCCCAGAGCATCCAGCTCTTGCTCTAGACACAAACTAGCAAGATTGCAGGGATGTAATTCAACCTGTACTCACCTCCTTCAAGTTTTCTGTTGGATCTTTCTTCTTTTTATTCTAGGAAAAAACAAAACCAACATGTTTAGAAAGGCTTCTTACAATCACATCCAAGGTAATTCCTCAGGTCCCCTCATGGGAAAGGGAATCTGGATCCTAAGGCAGGAAATACCTTCCAACATCTACTGTCCCAGGTGTTCTGTCCCATTCTCCACCCACCAGACCCTTCCTCTTCAGGGCCCCCAGGGAACACCCAGGACTCACTTTCTTTGTGCCTGCAGGAGCTGTGCTGGTCACAGGTTTCTCAGGCTGTTTTTCTGAGGCCTTCTGAGAGTGTTTACTCCAGGCTTTGGGTTTGGAAGGGTCACCAAAAGACTTGCATAACTCCACCTGAAAAGCATCAGATCTTTAATGAAATAGATGTTCAAGGGCCTGGTTCTGTAACTGCTGGATAAGCCTCACTCAGGAACCTGTCTTACAACTCTGAAGGGGGTGTGCAGAAGGAGAACAGGCCATTTCATACAGATGTTCACTCTAAAAAGCACAGGACACACATTCACTCAAGGTGGGGAACAGTTTGTTGTGCTCCCTCAAGCACAGCCACATCAGCTGCCCTGTCACTCACAGATCACCCACCCTCTGCTCAGAGCAGCAAGATGAATGACTTGAAGTGCCAAAAGACTTCAAGTTCCCTCAGGTTATGACAGCTCCAAACCTGACATCATTGCCAGTGCATGAGCTGAGCCCAGAACCTCCTTGAGACTCCAGCATCAAGCTCTGGTGGTTTTGCTGCAGAAGACTTCATCTCTAGGCTTCCTCAGCCCCTGGCTGTTCCTCCTCCTTAAAACAACCAAAACCTCCACCAACAAACTCTCCTAAGAATCAAAAGAAAGGCTGTTTTTCCATGTCAACTCACTATGACTCTGGAGGTGTCTATGAAGCTCCTGTTGAAATGGTTCAGGGCTGCTTGAGCTTCCTCTTCAGACTTGTAACCAATGAAGCCAAATTTCCTGAACTTCCCTTCCTTGGTGAACTTCAGGGAACAATCAGTCAGGGTGCCAAAGGCAGCCAGGAGCTTCCTGAAACGCTCT